ACTGCCTGGGGAGATCGATGAAACCTCCTGTGCTCTGGTTCTTTGAAGCACCTGGAGGAAACAAAGCAGCCTTTTCCTTCCTGGCGTCTTCTAGTGCTTCGGTTTTCRGTTAACACCTGCTTCTGAAAACGAAATGGGATTGATCAAACTCAAAATTTCTTGCTTGGAAATACTGCTTTCAGATACCTCAAGGCACTGCTCTTCTCCAGGACTTTGCAAGTCAGTGCTTTTGCATCTCCTGGATCTAGAAAATAGCATTAAATCTAATGTATGGGAGCCTTAAAATGGAAAATAGCAGTAGTGCTGTGGCTGTGTGTGCAGAGATAGCGCGGCCCCTTTTTTGTTCCTTTTCCCCATAGAACTTCTCCGTGCAAATTGGCAAGGGTAAGAGCTGCTTATCTGGAGGCTCGGCTGTGCCAGGAGAGAAATAGGGGGAAAACATGGGAACTCCAGGAAAAAACACGCTTTAATTACGCGATCAGAAATAACACGCTTTAATTATGCGCTCAGAAATAATGCACTTTGTGTGATCAGAAACGGTGGGGAGCGAGTGTCTGCGGCCGTCCCGCGCGGCCCTCGCTGTCGGGAGGGAAGGGCTCTGTGGCCAGTAGAAGTTCTGAATGGGCAAGTTCCCCTTCAGCTGACTTTTCTTTCCACCTCATGTCCAGGCAGAGCACAGGAATAAGTGGCTCCCATCACATTTTTTGAGAAAGCTGCTTCTGTTTTTATCCTGCAGTGGAAAAACTGTTGAAAGCAAAGAGCAGCACTTGGATTATGTGGTGTTTATGGCTACAGAAACCCTACTTTTGTTACTTTGGAAGAGATGGAAAACCATTTGGCAGCAGAATAGGTGCACTGTGTCTYGGGGATGGCTGCCTCTTCCTGGCCCTCTTGCCATGGGATGAGTATCTCTCTAGGAAGTGCTGAACCGGGGGTATGGGTGGTATGGGGTTTGGGAAAGGCTGGGCTTACCTAGGTCCTGAAAAAAGGTGTTTTCTGGTTGCCAGGAGGTGTTTTCTTGCATAGCTCAGTGGGTCGCGCTGGCTCCTGTCTGCTTGTGGAGCCACAGGGAAGGAAGCCCTGGGAGCCCAACACAGGGCGCCTCCGAGGGCAGGATGGGCCCGTTAGCCACAGCATGGATGTAGATGAGTGCAGGTCAACCTCGGAGCYGCTCCGTGCGCTCAGCTGCCCCCGGGGTCTCCTGGCTGGGCAAGGGGATGGTTCTGCACATGGAGCTTCTGAGGAGAGCAGCCCTGAGGGGCGGCTGGAASGGAGCGTCTGCCTCTGTGCAGTGCTCCTTCCGTCCCCTCGTGTGGTGGGGTCCAAGCGACGGCCCCCTCTCGTGAGGGTCCCGGCTGGCGCGCCTGGTCAGCGCGGTCGGTCAGATCTGTTCAGTGCTCTCAGGCTGGACCCCATAAAACCCCTTTTCTAGGGGGTTATCAGGCAGGTTTTCTGTTGCTGCTGCTTTAGGTGCTCTGGCTGTGATTGAAGGGACAAACTCGAGGGAAAACTCAGCTAGGAACATGATGCGATTTTTTAAAAATCAAGCTGAGGCTTTCACATTAAAATCAGACACCCAGTCATTGTGTTCTTAGTGATTCAATGAATACTGAAAACTTTGTGCTGGAATCGTCACTTTAAACATTTTAACCTCAGTACAGTGCAAAACGCTGTAGTAAAACTGTTTAAAAATGCATTTATTTGGAGCATGAGGACAAAGCCCTGTACGTGTTCAGTTTTGTGTATCCGTTGAACTGTGCTCCCAAGCACCAAGTGCTCTTGTGTTGCGCTGCACATCTCTTGGAGCAGGGATTTTATTTCCACATCTTAACATAAAAYGTAGGCATGAGGCTGGGCTTTCAAAGTTTCATGGAGCTGAAATGAAATATTCAGCATGCCAGCAGGCACGTTGTAAGTTATAAAAGCATTAAAGCAGGATACCTCTGATGCATTAATAGAGAGCTTAATATTTTATTTGTGTAAACAGGTGAAACAATAGCACGTGCYGCTGTATTGTTCACATTGTGTAAAATGAGGATCGATATTTGTTAGCGCTCAGCTAATTTCAGGCAGRATCTGTGGAAGGCATAAATATCCTCCGAGGAAACGCATGCTCCGCGTGTCCATAAATGCACTTTATTGTAATAGACTTAGTTCAGCTACACTGCTCTGCTCCGAGGTTTCCGCTAGGCTGGGGGGTATTTCTGTGTTCACGGATTTGCAGTGGTCTGTGCGCAAGAGCCTGCCTGCYTCGTGTTTATTTGAAAAAGGAAGCAAGCTCCGGGGTGGCCTGGTCAAACGYGGGCTGTGACATCCCTCCGCTCCCTGTGATGGGAGCAAGCGATGCAGAACGCGGAGCGGGGCACGCGGAGCCGCCCCGGGCACATTACAGATCACAGGGCCGGAACGGGTCGTGGAGGATGCCGAGCAAGAGGCCGATTAAGGAGTACAGCAGCGATGCCTTTGCAATGTTAATTTGCCTGGGTGGCCTGGAGGACGATAACCTTGAAGCGGCTCTGATGTTCCCYGCCGGGGCGGAGAAGCCATTAGCTTAATTCCGGTATCAGGGAGCGGGTCACGGCGCCGGATCGCGCAGCCAGGAGCCCCGCGGCCACGGAGCTGTGCAGTGGTTCCCACCTCCCGTGCGTGGCAGGCGGCCGGGCGCCCTCGCTGACCCCGCGCTCCCATCCCGCCGGCAGCGCCGCCCGCCCCGGTGTGCTCGGAACGGCTCGCGCGGCTGCTCCAWGCAGGAGGCGTCTGGTCTTTGCAGCGCTCCTCTTGAGGTTCGTAGTTACGCYGTAGCTCCCATCAATCTGTGTTCACAGCCCGTCTGTGAACGCTGTAATGGGAGGGAGAGGGAAGCAATAAGGTGGCCTGAACTGTGACTTTCACCAGCCTCAGCTTTGCGGAACTTTTAATTTGCATTAAGTCTCAGTTTACTGTGAACACGAGAGCGCTGGACCTGAAATAGTGTCTGTGTTTGCACGTGACGGGTGAATGTATTTGCTGCAGCAGGTAAAGTGATGGTAAGAGCCCTCCCTCCTATTTGTTGCTTGGACTCTTTGTGCCTTGGAGAAGCAGAGTGCAGGGTCCTGCCCCTGGGCAGGAATAACCCGCGGCACCAGCACAGGGTAGAGGTTGACCTGCTGGAGAGCAGCTYCACAGAGAGSGACCTGGGGGTCCTGGGGACACCAAGGTGYCCATGGGGCAGCAGGGCCCTGGTGGCCAAGGAGGCCAGTGGGCTCCTGGCTGCATCAGGAGCGTTGGGAGCAGGACAGGGAGGGGATCCTGATCCTGCCCCTCTGCTCAGCSCTGGGGAGGCCAAACCTGGAGCACTGGGAGCAGCTCTGGGCTCCCCAGGGCGAGAGGGACGTGGAGTTCCTTGCTGTAAAGCAGTTTAGGCTAACTYTGGCTTTTGCAAAGAATGTGAATAACTGAAATTGCAACTGAACTGCAAGGGTAATTGCACAAAAAAAGTGAATCTTYGTTTAACTTCTGTAAGTTCTGCATTTGCTGCGCTGGGAACTGCTGTAACCCCTGTTTCTGCGGGCGAAGTGGGTTATTTACTTGTGATAACAGCCACATAAAATCATTAACATGCTGTCATAACCAGCTGTGGTAAGCTGTATTATATGGATTGGTGACATAAATAACACTTCCAACAAGAAGCTGTTCGAATCAGCTGTTTGCCGCTGCACAAACCGAGCGCGGTTGCCTTTGGGGGAATAGCACGGAACACATGTTTTTAAAATAATTACTCTTCCGTGTGCTGTAAATATCTCTGTACTGTTGCAAATGTTGCATGGCAGGGAAGTGCTGTGCTCCCGTGCAGCTTTTGGGCCTAATTTTGATGCTGTTTTTCTCATTAACTCAAATCAGGACATAGAAGTAGATGAGAGAGAAATCGGGTTGTGGCTCTTGTGGCTTTTATTAGCAGCTGCCTCTTATTGTCATTTGGGGTCAGGTCATGCTGAAATTCTGGTGGTTTCAGCACTGATTCTGGTGCTAAAATAAGTTATACTACATGTTGGTGTGTACAACAATTAATTCCTCTTTTGCTAAACATATGCTAAGTTTTGAAGTCCTTACTTTTTATTTTACATGTTTTAAAGCATAATGTGGTAGCTGGCTACATGAGCAATTGCTTTATAGGTGAAAACAAATACTTGACAATAGAATTCACGTTTCTGTGAAGAAAATGCCAGGCAGCCCTTTGTGTGGTGTTCTGTGTATTCACGAGGAATCTGGGGGCTGAGATGTAAAACAGAAACGTAATTATACTTTTTATTGGAGAGGACAAGCATCTTAAATCTCTCAGTGTGGCACATTTGTGTGTGCTCGTTTGCTCTGAGGAAGCAAAAGAGGAGTTAACTTGATGAGAGGCGGCGCTCGCGGTGCTGCCGCTCGGACCTCTGCCTGCCCATCTCCCTGTGTCCATGTTTCTCCTTATTCTCAAAGGAGAAGGCAGGGGCTGGGTGGCTTTTCAGCACCCAGGGTGTTCCTGCGAGGTGGAGGGAGCTCCACCAGCTCCGAGGTCCCGGGAGGGTTTCGTACTTGGTGCTCTCTTGCGTTTGGTGGTAATAGCAAGGAGAGGCAAGTTCCACGCTGTTTTCACACTTTCTACACCAAAACCTATTTTGATGTACATGCCTGAAGCAAATCCTGGAAGAAATTAAAGTCTCCAAATAAAATTCAAGACATGTGGCTCTTAGTTGTACATGTTTAGCTGTGTTTTATCTCCATATATATATATATATTTTACATATATACACACAGGCATATATAATCTGTTTATAAATGTTATCTTTATGCTGATTGTACGAAAATACTCTCTGTGCTTCCCCCTTAATGAGTTTACAGAGAAACATAAATACCAATTAAATTAATTCCTCGCGTTCTTGCCAGGCGTCTCAGCGGTGCTTCTGGGATTGGTGCTAGCGTCAAATCCAGCGCGTGGAACCAGCTAACCAATGTCTGCTCTTTTCTGGTGCCTGTTCCAGGTTCACACGTGAAGGGATTTACGTCGCTGCGGTTCCTGACGGAGCCCTCGGACGCCGTCACCATGCGTGGGAGCAGTGTGCTCTTGAACTGCGCGGCGGAGTCGGATCAGGGCGCTCCCGTGATTAAATGGAAGAAGGATGCGGTCTTCTTAAACCTGGCAGTAGATGAAAGGAGGCAGCAGTTGGCCAACGGCTCGCTCTTGATACAGAATATAGTGCACTCGAGGCACCACAAGCCGGATGAGGGTCTCTACCAGTGCGAAGCGTCCTTGGAAGGCGTCGGAGCGATCATCAGTCGGACAGCTAAGGTCATGGTGGCAGGTAGGGACAAACGTTCCTGCTTTCTGYGGTGCTGGAATTGCTTCTTGTGGCAAGCTTTAAAAGCAAAAAATGTAGGGAAATGCGCTTGTGGAAGCTCTGTGGTTCCTTTCCCCCTTCTTCAAAAGAAGCGGAGCTAGATATGACACTTTTACTACAGTAATTTATTTCTGACAAGGTATTATTCTTGTTTAAATATGTCTAATCAACTCTTTGTTGCTGTGAATTATTTGCTGCATATTTATTGTCATCAAAACAGAGGGAACCTCTGAAGTTGGTAATTAACTGCTTTTTCTGGTGAATTCAAGATCAGAAAAATAAAAGTGCTGAACTCCTGTAGGGTGTTGAATGTTCAAATTTTATGGTTTAGGAACTCTTTCATAGACAAGAACTCATTATGCAGCTTAATAGAATTGGCAGCTCCTTTGTATCTCCTTTAAAGCCCTCGTTGAAGGTATGACAGGAGGCACGGGAATGGAGTATACGTTATCTGGTGTCTGGGACGTGGACTTTCCAAACACCTTTGTTAAAGTTATTGAGGGCTGACATTTTAAAGGGCTCTCTTGGTTCTTCATTGCTCTGTTGAATGGACGGGAGTGAAACATTATTCATGTAATCATTGAAAAAGATGTTTGGAAATCCTTGAATAAAAGRTTTAAAGAAAGTTAATTAATGCCAAGAGGAATGTGCTAGGCTTCAGGATTGTTTGCTTCAGGATTGTTATTTAGGAATTGCACCAACTTTTAGGGGGTGCTTTTTGTTTCTCTGCATACCCTCTTGTGTGGAGGGGGCTGGTGGCTGTTGCTAGCGGGCTCTAACAGACCTCTAGAGCAGGTTGGGGATGCCCAGCGCGGGCACAGAGGGAGCTGGACCTCCTGGGAACACCCGTCTTGGRAGAAAAAGAGACCAGAGTGAAATTGTTCTGTTATTAACACTGTGGAAAGAAGTGGTAATTATGGCAGTTAGTGCTTGGATGAGCTCAAAAAGGAGAAGATTGGGTTTATATGAAAGAGAAAAAACGACAACAAAAAGGGGGAAAAAAGGGAAAAGCAGAGCGGCAAAGCCACGGGGAGCCCTACGGACACGGCGGGAGCCTGCAGAGCAGCCCGGGCTGCATGGACCCTGGRTTGGTCACTGCCCAGGCACACCTGGCCTTGCCTTGGTTATTGCAGCCCGTAACATCAGCTCCTTTGGAGGGAACTCCGTGTGCTTGTGGCCTCCCCACAGGTTTACTCGCCCCTGTGCTGTGCCCACACCTGCAGCTCTGGGGCGGCTTCTGCCTTTSCACGTGAGGGGCCGAGCTTGCCCAGCGATACTCAAAGCCCCTCTGGACACCCCCCTGGGCTGCTGCAGTTGACCTCCCTTCTGCTGGGGACCGGATCTAGACGGTCTCCAGAGGGGCTTTCTCCTGCTTTGAGGATTCTGCCGTTTTTTGATTCCGTGATAAATAGTCCCTATTCGAAGGTGGAACGTAAGACATCGAGCGTTTAAAGCTGGCAGCAAGGTCTCTGAGCAGAAATGCTGCTCGGCTCTCTGAAGGACGCGCGTGTTCCTGAGCGGGCTGGCTCGCTCTGGGGCGAGTGGCTGCGCAGTGTGGGCAGAACAGCCCTGGCTCGGGGTGCTGCCGATGGAAACGCGTCTGAGCAAGGGAAAGAGGGCAAGAGGAGAAAGGAAGGGCTCATGCTCCAGTGTGTTGTGTCCGTGGTGGCTTGGCACAGCAAGCAGACTTCCAAAAATGTGCACAAGAAACAGCGAGTTTGTGCTGCCCTGAYGAGTGGGCAACACTTCAGCAGAGCCCTGTTTCCCTTAGGAAAGCATGGGAGCATCCCCGTGCAAGAGTTCATCCTTGCAAGGTGTTGGAGCACGGATTGGGAGCTTTAATATTTCAGGCAGGCTTCGCTTAGAGATTCATTCACTGAATTACAAAATAATCTTGGACTGTGTCATTTTTATTTTTTTAATGATGCATCTGTGCATTTTAAGCACTTGCAGAGCTTTTTGGCAGCAGAGACTCTATCAGCATTAATTTTGTTCGAGGTCAAGATTGCCAAACCACTGATATGCGTAAGGAGCATATATCTTTGCTGCAGTTAAGGCTGTGAACCTGTTTCCATCTCACTATTTTTAAAGCATTATCAGTCGATAAACCAGTCACTCCTACCAGGCAGCAGTCAGCTTTGCTTAGAACAAACTGTTCAGGGTTGCTGCAAGTATATTGCCCTTTTAAATTCCTTTGCCTTGTACTCTTACAGCTTAAAGGGCTTGYGATAAAGAAAATATAGCAAATTTAAATGGATTTAATCACCTTGGAATTTTATGCATGAAGCTTGCCCTGTACAGGAAAATAGACTTTTTTCCCTAAGAACTTCTCAAGGGTTCTTCAGGCCTCAGCAGTCACTGGCTGTGAAAATGTTCTTGGCCGAAATGGAAATGAGGGCGCTGAAGAGAAACTAAGAGCCGCTTCCCGCGCGGGCGTCRCATCGAAGAAGTCCTAATTTAACAGGCTGCTGATTATTGGTATTTCCCATAATTGGTAGGTTTTGGGGGGGTTTTGCCGCTYCCTGCAGCGCGTTATGTCTCTATCGTGCGTGGCCGCAGACGTGGTGCTGCAGCCGCCGGGCTCCGGGTTAGCCTGAAGCGCTGGGGTTGCGGAGCGCGGCGAGAGCAAAGCTCAGCGCTGGCGCGGGGGGCTCTGCCCTCGCCTGGCAGCTCCTCCTCGACGACTAGGCCTCTGAGATGAGATCGAGCTTTTATTTGCAGGGGAGGYTTCTGGATTGGAAAATAGAAAAACTTGCTGAAAGCAACTTACAGCCAACTTTTCTGGTGAAAACTGTAACGGACAAGCTGGATTGCACAAAAAGCCCCAAGTGCTGGCTTTGGCAGCGGCCGATGGTGCGTGGCTGGAGACGAGGCAGACAGGGCATGGGAGTGGACTGCCAGAATCCTCTGCTCGTCTCCACCTTGGTCTTGGTGTCAGTAAATTCTTGAGGCACCAGTACAGCGTTTGTCAATTTAAGAACCTTGTTAATGAGTTTCTTCCATAGATTGGTCTTTTTAACCCATACAGTCTTATAGCATTTCTTTCTTGGACAGCGTATGTTGCCATCGGTTCAGTCCCAGTTGGAAGTAGTGGCCACTTTTGGAATAAAGCAGTATCAAGGAAGTTAAGGTAGTGGAAAATCCATCTTGTTGCTTGAAGATGCTCCATATCAAGTGTGGAGCGTCCCTGGAAGGGGCAGCTGGGCAGGGTAAGCAGAACATGCCCTTCCAGCACATAGAGCTTAACGTGTTAGTTTGGGGTAGGCTGAGACCTTTAGAATAACGAGTTACCAGACAAGCCTTGTTGAATACATCCTGTCTGCTAACGTCAGCAGAGAAGTGGAGCCTGAGAGTGTTGCCCTTTGGCCTCCAGAAAGGCTGTTTTCAAGAAAATGGTCTCAAGTTGTTACCGCAGATGTCATAGGATGACATGATCTTAGCAGCCTTCATTTTGGAAGTGAGCTTTTAGTTATTGGGAGAGATCTTGTGTTGGAGGTAGGAATAGCAAGGAAAGAAAAAGGAGACTTCTCAAATTCCCCCTGTGACTGTGTGTATTCCATGACTAAATTATGTATCCAACACATTCCACTTGGAAGAGACGAAACTTTAAGCACAGCTTTCTCCTTCAGCTGAAAGTCAACCCGCCTGTTCCCAATAGAAGTTGTTTCTTGGCAGGCGATCAAGCCAAGTGCGGATTTTTTTCCACTGAGATCTCATAGCAGTATTTTCAATATTTTGAAATGRTGTTTGACCCTGCTGGTGTGCCCTGGGTTGCGCTTTGCCCGTTGCTCATACGGTGGTTGACCCATCGGGCTGTCACTGCGCGCTGTCCATGGGGCCCCGTGGTCGTCCTCCCTGGGTGCCTGGTGCTCGGAGCGCTGCTGGTCCAGGGTGGATCTGCTGAAATCCAGGGAGTATTTTAGAATTGTGCTAGTAAGCACCAGAACTGGGCTCCTGCCATGTACCTGTCTAGACAGAACTCCTCCAGCTGCCAAAAAACAAAGGTATCCAAGTGTGAAAATACACGTCTTGTATAGAGACAGTACCTCGGTACATAAATATTGCTGCTTGTGTAGCAACACTGTCAGATTTCCAATAACAAGCGCAGATACTAGGACAGCTGTTGACCTCAAGGCTAAAATCTTTCATGTGAAAAGAAGCACATTTTAATCCCCATTCACTGTTACAACCTTGTTTTCCTAAATTAATGTAAAAATACTCTAAATGCACTGATAATTTTAGAATTGTATTATGTACACACAGTGTCTAAGAAGATAGAATAGGAAAACTAGCATTTACTGCCTACTAGTGTTTTAGGATTTTAAAAATGTAGGATGAAGAGAAGCCTTTTAGGGACTCGATGGAATATCACTCCTAGGAAAAAACGGGACAAACAAAGGAAGTCTGTTACACCAAAATTTCAGGAAATATTGTATTAGAGCGAATGAAATGAGGCTTGAAGTGTTGCGTCTCTCCCATGTCTCCTTCCCGAAATCTGATAGTCGCTTTTTCGTGAAGGAGCTAAACACCCTTCAAGTTGCACCTCCCAAGCCATTAACTTCTGTCTTTATTCATACAGCAACTGAAAATTACCCAAACCAACTTCATCGTTTTTATTCCTACCAGAATCACTATAGACCCTCAGCTATTTTTTGTGACTTGTTAAAACAGACCCTACTTTTAAACTCATTTGGAGGTTCCAAAATCAGCTTTTTTGGTAAATAGTAGAACAAGAGATACAAGTCTCTGAACTTTGTGGAACAGACAGTGCAGCTGGGAAATTCGGATTAAAGTCCAACTGCTAGACAGCAAATTCAGTGACGTGCCTCTGCTTTTCTGAACTCTYGGCCAACGGACTTTTCCCCTCGTATGCCGCCTTATCCAGGGAATTTTTCCTTTAGGTCCTGCTTGCTGCAAAGGCCTAAGCTGGCATGGTTGTGTCAGGCACCGAGTTTGTGGATAGG